GAAGACCTTGAAGAATATGCGGTCCTGAATAACCTCCCCCCCAAAGTGCCATTTATAAAATTTTCTCACTGATGATGGCGCAGTGCCTAAACGCATTTGAGTAATTGAGCAAACTCTGCGTGAAGACGGACCCAATAAGTAGACCAACACCCATCAACACGTTTATAAAAGGTGAGCTGTTAAAATTAGCATTAGGTAGGCTTTATTTGAAGTTTTATTAGATTGGCTACTGATTACAATTAATCGTTTCGCTATCTGGCTTAATTCAAAATAATGAATTGTGGTTGGAAAACTATATATTTTATATGACTACACTACATAATTTATTTTTGTGAGGTAGCTTTATTTTATTTTATTTTTTTGCCTAGTTAAACGCACAGTCACTTATTTTTTCGACCTAAACCCGCTGATCCAGCATGCAGAGATATGTTGCAAATTATATCCCACTTAATTTAAAAGTATCATTCCTTAGCTCTATAAAAGCGTTAAGAAGCACGTAGTAATGCCGCCCAATATAAGAATCGGGCTCGAGCAGGATCTGGGTCGCCTGTTCCGATTTTTGGAGGAAACAGTGTTGTTTTATTGTATATAATATCGATAGTTTTGTGTACCTAACGTGTTTTGGGAGTGATGATGGTTATGGTGAATGTGGATAGCAATAAGTGGGGGTTTCCACTCCCCAGGCATTGCAGCCTTCTGGCTTATTGTACCTTCCTATTTCCCAGTTTAGTGTAATCGACTCCACCCTTCCTCTAAAAAGTATTAGGTCATTGACTGTCGCTGCTATAATTTCATTCCCTGGGTTTATTTCTGTAACCTAGGTTATATCTTCACTAAGACATTGCTTCGAATTAGAAGGTGATATGGGTGGCCGTATCCTCCTCCTCATTGCCTAATCTACAAATGGACCATCATTGAATAAACTCGTGTTGTGCAGATGTTTTCTCAGATGACAGTGATAGTCTTAACACTCCTCTGAGTCTGCTCCTCTCCAATTGCAGCAGTGAGTTTGCCAGTCTTGGTGAGGGTTCTTTTAATAAAAGGTAACTGTTTCTAGCGCCCCCAGAATATATGCACTCCTCCTTTTGACTTCGTTGAATCCATTCTGCGATAAGGGATTCTTTGTTGTTTTGAGAGTGAATATATTTAGTGGCGCGAAGGTGTAGTGTAAGGGGTCTCACAGCGGAATATCGCGTACTCCACTACTCAAACTGAGTGAATGGTATGTAAATAAAAAAGACTATTTAAAAACGAGTGAGAGATCTAGGAACGACATGCGTTTAGTGCTGAATTGACCTAGCCGGTGACAGTACCCGGAGCCCAACTACGGATTGCCAACACCCGGGAGACTCTCGAAGCCTGTCGGTAATTGTAATTTATTGTAATTGTAAATTGCAAAAGCTGTAATAGAGGTGGCGAGAAGCCATAAGTTCGATGTAAATGTATGTACGTATGTACATGCATGTACAGATTTCAGTTTATATAAATCATCAATCGGCAAATAGTTAAAATTTCTATTTATTTTGTCCTTCCTAATGATGAGCTCCTCCCTACCCATAGTCTGTTAATATTATTACATTTCTCATGTAAATTACAATTATACTTTCTTGTTAAACACTATGGCTCACAGCCAAAGTGCTTAGCACAACATGCAGTATCCTATAAATAAATTAAAAACTGACCAATTTAAACTAATTAATGAATCTTTATTTTGGAAAAGTCCTTTTTTAGCATTGATATATAATGTGGCATTGAGATTGAAGTAAGATTTTATCGTTTGCAATGTATAAAACTACTCCCACATCGTCTAACATCACATTACAATGAAAACCAAGCCTAAATGTTCTTGAGTAACTCACTCCTCCGCGGAAGTTATATTTGCAGATATAATTCAACGAACTACCATGAAAATACCGTTTTAAAAGGCCATTTGTTTGTAAGGCAAGCTTTTAATATTGAGCTTACAGATGAACAATTACTAAATGAACAAATGGACGGTAGTTTCGTGTGTCACGCTAATCGAATATTAATTTCTACCGGTAAAATTGTCAACCTCCGTTTTCTACCCACAACTGCCTACTCGGCCATAAACAATTCTGCTGTTTAGGCAATATGTTAATAATTCTACTAATAAAAACCTGTTGGTGAACTTTTCAAGTAAAAGTGAAAATCTGAATCGAAACACTGCAGCATTTTAGAAATTGGGCTTAACACACTCAAATTTCGTACAAGGGAAAAGATATGACGATGGTGTAACTCCTGATTTTTTTTTTTTTTTTTTAAGAATAATGAAAAGGCTTGACCATTGAAAATTACAACGTATGTTTTCCTAGTTTAAAATGTTGCTCGCAGAATAAAAATTTATAGAACAAGTAGTTTCATTTATTTTTCATAAACTCCGCGTACTCTTGGTAACAGAGTACATGTAATATAAAATAAATAATATTTTCTATTTTCTTTTTCTTATAGGTTTCATCTTGCACTAAATTGTTCTGTACAAGGCCTTACCAAAAAATAATAAATTAATAGAAAACAAAATCGTATTTAGCATCATGTTTCGATCATCATTGTGTTCAAGACTACTTATATTCAACTCAAGTGTACTCCTAATCAAAATTTCACGGAAAAATTATGCATATGTTCAAGAAATATGTTCCGTATGTAATTGTAATGATTTGGAAGAAAGACTTGTGTGTTCCGATTAGTTGTGTCGATTAGTTAATCGAAATCTCGTTTGGTAATCCTATAACCCTGGACCAACTGCCGAAAATTCACTCTTATAGGCAATGAACACCAAATTAAATCGCTCTCTTACTATGTTTTGCATACATTAAAACGGATCATTTTCATTGAATGGGTAATTTGTAAAGTAAAAGAATAATTAAGGTATGGTTCACTTTAATCTCAGCCTACAAATTATATTCAGTTTAATGATAGTTCATGCAATATCTAGTGATTCACACATTTATTTTTTCACAAACAGTAGTACATTGTTAGCAATTATTTTATTATGATTACTTTTATGTAATTAAATTGGAACTACTTTGGCCATCGCCAGCCCTATCTTTCTGAGTTTTGCATTTCTCGTCTTATATTTATCGCGTTTTAAACCTACTAATTTATTTTACTCATTCTTCAGACAAGTTATGATGTGTTATAATATGACGGTAGCCAACTCTCTCTCTTTTCTTTATCCACATTGCACCTTACAGCCTCGTCAATTGTGGATAAAATAGCACAAAGACACAGAAACAATATAGAAACATGAGCCTCTTGTCAGCTTCACACTATCCAGAGTACTCGCTATTCCTCGGGGAAATATACCCCTCCATTCACGCTAATAAATTACACTCACACGTCAGACTTCTTTCACACTACCCCAGATTGCTCAATACTCCTCGGAGTAAATAGGGATAAGCCACCCATTTGCTCTAAACAAATCTTGTGAATGAACTCGATATTCTTCGGGGTAATTGGGGAGAAACTTTGCTATCACGCTAATACTTACGAACACACACCACAAATCACTCACATTACCCCGGAGTACTGGATATTCCTCGAGATATATCGTTCTAATCTCAGATGTCACATCGACAACATGATGGGTCGTGGCGAAGGAGGAAAAGGTTCGGGAAACCATTGACCACCTGTTAGAACGACTGCCTTGATTTCCCGGTGGTAACATTGCTTATTCTGTGTATACAAGTCGCATAGCGCTTAAGCTGTTGTTTAGAAACCAAAACACACCAGATACACCAGATACCTAACCGAGACTCAATAAGTATTTAATGTTTTCAGGAAAAATAATGTTAAAAAAATTATGCATTTAATATTTTTTCCAGTTCGGTTTCCAGTGATTCCCTTTTTACGGTTGATAACATGCTGATTAAATGTAATGTACGAAGTCCTAAAACGGTAAATGCCGTATGTTTAGATGTGGGTCGGGCGTGGGTGTATCACAATGTACACAACTTTATCACAAGCCCAAAGGACTCATTTTGAAGTTTGACGCCACAGTGGAATTCGTGCAAAGGTGTGCCGGCTCGTTGCCGGTGCAATTTTCAATTAAACGGTTTAAAATAAAATTTAGAACTAAATTTCTTCTCACTGACAATTTCATTGTGTACACTTCATTTTTCTTCATTATAAGATTTTCACAACATAATAGCAATATTTTTCTTTGGTTTCCTTTTTCCCCTCTTCTCCTCTCTCACTCACCATTATTAACTCTCTCAAACTCATTTACTCTGTCTCTCTGTCTGTCTGTCTGTCTCTCTCTCTCTCACTCTCTCTCTCTCTTCTTCTCTCTCCCCCCCTCTCTCTCCTCTCTCTCTTTCTCTCGCTCTCTCCTTCGCACGCAGGCGATGTAAATTTGATACATTATTCTACAAGATCCTTGTGAAATATTTACCCAATTTCCGGCAAAGGGAACAAGGTAGGTTCACCTAAGAAGAATTTCCGTTAATAATTTATCTGTTGACCACAAACCTAATAAATTTATTTAATAATGTATTTATAAGCTAATCTCTTCAGGTAACGCCCAAAAAATAGCAGTCATAAAGTTTAACTATACTAATATTGTTATTCCGCATTTTCATAAATTTACATGCAAAATACATTAAAAATGAATGATACATATGTATAATAATAAATGTTTTTGTGAGCTTATAATTGAATTTTTTAAATTTTAATCTCGCTTGCAGAAAAGTGGACTTTTTTGACTATATAACATTTCAGAACTTCGCAACGTTGAAAAATTTTCGAACCGTAGCAATAATAACGCTTCGACATGTTGATCTGACAAAATGTCAAGTGCGCAAATAAGATACGCCGTTGTGAAATAAACCCGTGTCGAAATTCGTGAGACGCGGGACTTGACAACTGCTTCCGAACTTTGCCTGATTCAATAACTTTGCGAGCAGCCAGTTTATAACAAGTCGATCGCAATCAACACGACTCCTAAATAATCCAAAGAATTATTCATGAGACAAGTCGTTCACCTGATAATGCACCGGCGGTTGCGGCAGTTGGTGTTGCTGCTGATTCGTGAGTAATCCAAGTCTGACTTTGTTATATTTTTTCAGAAGCACTCTCCACACGACGTAAGCCATTTAAAAATTGAAAACGCGGACCTAGGCGGGCACCGAACGTGAAAAGTGCGCGAAGAAGACTGGAGAAGGCCGGACGAAACAATGACTCTCCCGGTTGAGCGCGAGCTGCCGGAATCCGAACGAAACTATAATTCACACGCCTTCTTATTTTTAATCAGATAATTAATTATTATAAGTTTAATATTTGACGAAAAGCGGGTTCGACAAAACTGGACTCGATGAATCGAATGAAGTCGATACAATACATTCTTTAAAAAATAATTATGTCCAATTTGGGTACCTACATGCACTTCGCAATTTTTTTTGTTATATATCAATTTACAGCTACAAGCTATAAAAATTTGCCAATTGATGCATTAGACATAGAACTGAACATCTATTTATCTTTCATTCAAAAAAAAAATCCCTATGTATGTGCAATTTGTTAGCGTGAATAGAAGGGTTTATTCCCAATGACTCCGAGGAATATCAAGTATTCTGGGGTAGTGTGAATGTAATTTATTAGCGTGAAAGGTAGCATATCCCCAATTACCCCGAGGAATATCAAGTACTATGTGGTTGAGTGAATGAACGTGCAAATCTAATTCATTAGCGTGAATAGAAGGATTTATCCCAATTTACCGTAGGAATATACCCCTTGGGTAGTGTGAATGATAAGCAGACTACCATCTGGTTTCTGTGTATTCGTGTTTGTTATTCGTCTTATTTTATCCAAAATTGACAAGGCCCTGAGGTACATAGAGGCTAGAAATAGACAAAGAAAATAGATAGTTGGTTACGGTTGTACCATGAATTATCGTAACTAAGTTGGAGAAACATAAAAAGAAATTAGTATTATTAAAATACAAGAAAAATAAGAAAAGAAATGTAAAGCTAAGCAAGAGAGGGATGGCGATGACCCCACTATAGTTTGCCGACCCTAAAATTTAAAATAATAATAAAAACTCAGGTGGCGGCGTATCTTCAAATATTGTGAAAATAAGGTTCTGATGTAACAATATTCCATTCTGCAGGCTTACGTAAGTCAAATTTGCCACTCTACGATTTCAAGGATGTTCAGATCACGATGGACGATTGCTCAGAAAGTAATTGTTCATTAGTGCATCTTTTTAGTTGAACCAGAAATATTGCTTGCAGAACCGCAAAAACAGGTACTTCGGCGGAGGATGTAGCATATTCCGAGTTTTGTTCTTTAAAAGTCGAACCTAATTGTCGTACCTGAACATCGAAAATTGGAGAAGATTTCTCTTTAGAATTAGCCTTAATTTCTTCACAGAGGTTCGATCAGCTTATAATGGTCAGACGGACAAGAAAGCAGCCGTTTTGATTGAAGACAACTGACGTTAAATAGCATACCTAGCGTATGAATGATTTAGGTGTGGAAGCAATTTCATATTTAATTGGAAACGATTCGATTGACAAATAAAAGCTAAAATAATATTGGAGGAATTCGACATGACAGACCCTACTTTATGCTTACTATCAATTAATGCATATTGGCAAATCTATTTGCAATATTAAACTGATAAATTGACAAGGAAGTTCTTATAACACCACTACAGATCAGATCTCAGGTCAGGTCAATACAGGGCAGATCTCTTCATGCAGAGAGAGGCCACAATTCACTGACTAATGCAGAGACCGGCTCCAATAGCCTACTCACATAAAAAGGAACAATTAAAGCTTCCTGAAGCTTCATGCAACTTCATGCAGATAATGCTCTTGGGATAGCTGTCGATGACATGATTCCAACATTCATATTTGATAAAGATTTCAAATTAAAACGCCATTTAGTGGAGGCTTGGGAAAAGGGAACCTCGTTAATGCTATAACCTAACCTAGGTTAGGTATAACCTAGGTATACCTAACCTAGGTTAGGTATAACCTAGGTATAACCTAACCTAGGCCTAACCATCCCTAAACATGTCGGGAATAACCTACCTAACCACAAACCATGCAAAGACTAGAATAATAGTTGGATTGCTAACTGGACATTGCAGATCCGGAGGCACTATAGACTATAATCTCGGAGCAGCAGAAACAAGCCCGTGCAGTTAAAAACAGGAAAAAGAAAAAACAGCAGCAGGCTATGATTCTATTCCTGGTAGAGGAAAATCCAAGGTCTGAAGTACTGAAGGATACATACAGGAGCCCTTTGGAATATGTAAAGCTTAATGAAGAGCTAAAAGCTGGTAAAAAGCTCTAGATAATAATGAAAATTGTACATTACACTAATATGGGTTGAGGTGTGTAAGGCCGTAAAGAGGCTCTTTGTAACCTTAACCTCTTTACCGTGGCTAAATATGCATATCTATATGCCGTATAATGCCAGAGTATCAACAATGGCCATATTTCGCTGATTGGTTGAAGCGCCGAACACGTCGGGAATTGATGGAACCACGGCAGTCTCTCTTAGATGTTTCCTGAGGTCGGAAGTTGTTCTTGATCTAAAGAAATTTGCGGACTTGAGCCATTAACTTGGATTCATCACTTCTCAATCTACAGTTTTTGTCGACTTCGCATCAAACTTTTTTCAACGCCAGTGAGCCTTTTTGTTGTTTTTATTAATGAATGCGTTTGGTTATTTGTTTCTTGTTTAAAAATAATGTGCTGAAGCATGGCAGAGCCGCCATTCCTTTGATGTTTCTTTTTTATATTTTAATTAAAGTCCTTTTTTATACAAATCAAATGTAATCAAAGTCTTTATTTTTAATTCCTTTGCCACTATTCTTCGGACGGGGGAAGGTCCACAAGAATCAAGTCTAAATTTTGTTCGGTTTGTCAGTAACACCACATGGTCCGGAAGTAACTTTCATTAAATTTAATTTTGGGATATATTCTATCCTTTACTGATAGATTATTTTTTCACCTACTTCAAGAGAGCATTCTAAAGTGTTAAAAAAGATCCAGTTTCCTGAAATCCATCTTGATGAACACGAGGTACAAACTATGTTTTTAATATGGGTCTCCAAAATAGCGTAACACTAGTCAGTAGTATAACCCTGAACTTCCTTACTATCAACCCAGATCATCGAGCCCAATACACAATTATGTAAATTTTTCTTGTTCTCAAGGGCAACTACGTCTAGAAAAGAGTAAGTGCATCGGGATATGTAGATAAAGTCGATGCTTGCTAGGTATGATAGTCTGTAAACTCATGTTGAACTGGTTTACTTATTGGTTTCGTCTTTACTCGTGGGTTTGTTGAATTATTCAAAACTCGTTTCGGCATTGAGCCATCTTCAGTGAGGAACTGTCTGTCACTTTGTCCAAGTAGGGCTTATTTGTCATTGTGTCCATCGAGTGTCGGGGCGTGGTCATGACATTTATTAGTCGGTGATGAAGTCGATTATTTCCGTTGTCTATTTTTTTTTTTTTTTTTTTGCTGTATTGGTTTTGATGTATTCTATTGAATGTTAGCGTTTTTGTTATGTAGTGTTTTAGTGGTGTGACAGTAGTCTGTGAATGTGAGTTGTTTGTTCATTCCGTCTTTCAGTGTTATTTTTCCTGAATATCGCTAGGTTCTCCAACACGTTGAGTTTTCGTCCTTTGAGTGCGTTTTGTATTAAAGTCATGCTTTTCTATTGTGTTTGGTTCATGAATGTGATGTATTAATTGTATGGCGTAATTTGATTTTCAGTTGTTCTCTCTGAAGTATCTGAGATATTCTTTGAATCCACCTCTTAATTTCCTTCCAGTCTGTCCAATGTGTGTTTGCATTGACATGTGATGCTATGAACACCGTTATTATCTAGCGAGATAGTTGTGTTTCTTTTTAATAGGTTAACTTAGTGCTATTTTTAATCCGAGTTTGTTGAACAAAGTCTGAAGGTTTCTTTTACACTGTATGTGATCTTTTTTGTCAATGATTTATTTATTTTTTCTCAAACCAAATTAATATTCTCCATTTTCTTTCCGGTCATCAGAACATTGAATATTTATTCATTTCTTTTCATATTAGCTTCATTCCGTTTAATCGTATGCAAATCGAATAATCCAAAATTAAGACGTTTGAATAGTAGAATAATCCCAGAATTACGAGACCTTTTCATAAATCCAAATCGGACTAATCGAACCCGGCGATAAGCTTTAATGCGTCTTCGAAACGTGTCAAATTTAGAGGTCGTTTCCATTTTCGAAAATCTTCTCGACTGAGACACTTATTTTAACTTTTTTTGCTGCGTATAATATAAAATTGCCAAGTAGAGGGCCTAAACTAGATTAAGTTCTACAACCGACCAAGTGAAAAAGGGGCCTGAAATAAACATTACGACGCGACTAAAACGCGTGTCGCAAATTCCTCCTTTTGTCTCGATTGTTATGAAGATTTCCTCTTATTGCCTCGCCCTTTGAAGTACCCATTTTCTCAAAGAGAGATTCACATAATATTTTAATAATGATAAACGACTACAAAAGAATAAAAGTACGAATGAAAGAGAAAGTAGATTCAACCTTAAGGCAAGATTTAAACGAATTCCAAACACGTTCTCCATCGTTCTAAGTATTATAGCCCAGTAGTAATTGATTTTTTCAACTTACACTGGGTGGTCTTCGGCCTTCCAAAAGCGTTTTACGGATATTATATGTAGGGCATATGGCTATATATAAGCCATGAAGTGTCGTGCTTATGGAGAAGCAACGATCATCACCTATAGTGTCTGTGTGGATGACAATTAAGCAAAAAAATTCTCAGACTGCTTCAAGTCGTTCGTGGACCAACTGGAAAATATCAGAGAAAGTGGTATTGACGTCCATTTTATATGGATCAATTTGGGCTAAAAAGGGGTACCAAAAAAACTATTAGTCACAATGGATGTCAATGCCACTTTAAACGAATCGCCAAGTATCAGTGATAGAAATAATGTGATATATTCAAGGCAATTAAAGGAGGATTTTACGCAAATCACCAGCCAACTATCGCATCCATGGTACAAAAAATGTTCTTCACAACTATCTCTAGGTTTCGACCATAATCAACACTATACGTCAAAGATTGGTACTTTTGAAAATACGGGAAGTGACAGTGGCGGGGTTTGACAGCAGACTTTTGAGTTGGTCGTCGTCCACAACGGAATGCCTACCGCGACCTTCACTGTCTTCGAGATCGAAATCTCCAAGATGAAATTTCTGAAACGATCACTGCACCTTGAATTCGCTAATGAACCAAACTATATTGATGTTAAGCGCGGTTTGAGCCGTACGTGGCCCAAGTTTAAATCCGTACAAATAAATTAGACGAAAATCTAGTTTGGACATATTTAATTTCGCAGATCCCCACTCTTATAAAAGTCAATATAAACTAAAATGTTTTCCTTAAAATATAATAGTTGAAAGCATCTGAACTGACGGCAGTGCGCTGGCCAAGTCCCAGCAAGCCACCATGTGTATCTTTGCACGACCAATTCACCCGGTTTTTCTTACCCTCTCTGCTTCCTCTTAAGATGGGCTTTTGAAATTTGAAACATAAATTGAGCTTAGGTCAATAAAAATTGAACCTTTAATATTTAGCCTTTTCGAAAGGGGGGAATTTCACAATTTGCATTTTTGTTACTGACTGACGCATTGATCGTCACAATTATAAGGCACTTCGCAAACAGTTAGAAACGAAAAATTCGATAAAACTGTAGGGTTTGTACAACAAGTAAAGGAAAAAATCTGGAAATTGGATTTTATTCAATTAGTGCCGCTATATGGGGAGAGGGGGAGAAGGGGGTAGTCACATCAACACATCACCAAAATTAACAGGCGATTCCCGTATAAGTAGAAATGTGTTATTTTGTACATATGTAGGTCTTATAAGTAAAGGTAAGAATCTGAAAATTGCAATTTACTCAAAATCTGTGCCACTTTAAAGTGGAAGATTTAGTCTCAGAATGAACAATGAGGAGTTTTTCTTTTCTTGAGTTCGCTACCTTCCCTTCACTCACCTCTCCTGTGTGAGCAAACATGGTCCTGGTGTTTTAATCCTCATTCAGATACCGGCCAAGTGTTAACCAATAAAAATAAAACGATTGTATTACTCATAAAGCCCTTTTGAGTTTAGGTTATGGACTAAAAAAGAACGAACTTGACCACAGTGTAGATACCATCACATTGATAGGCTAATTTTTTGGAGGGGGTCTGGAACATTGCCCTTTTTTCACGGCTAGGGTTTTGTTGGGATTCACTATAATCCATAAAGCCGAAGGTCGTGGGTTCGAATACCGCATGTGTTACAAACTTTTTATTTCGAAACAATTGTGTATAATTAATTGTACACTGACAGGCAAAAAATTCCACCAATTGATTTTTTATCGCGATAAAAGAATATTCCGCCCTTAATTTGTCTCAATGTTTTTACCAATAAATATTTGTTTATGCTGTTTTAAATTGGAAATATCAATTAGAGGTAAACACACTTAATCCTTAATCCAGAATAAGGATAAATGATTTTTCAATGTTTACTTTATACGGAATTTAAAATGTTTATTCACTTTTATTTGAATTCTGAAGCAATAAACTGTTTAGTTTGCATCTTTGTGCCAAAAAGGCCGCTTAGTGCTGAGGATGTTGCGCGTGGTGTGGCACTTATTGTTGACGGACGTTCCATCAGGTATGCAGTTCCCTACGAAACACTCCAAGACCCCAGTAGATATTTTCTAGCAACTGTGTGCTGCTTTAATATTAAGAATAACTTGGCGTGGTTCTGGACGCCCTAGGGTAACAACCACAGGACGACCGTTTTTTGGCTTTGAAAATATTACGTTACGGGCACCTTACTGATGTTCAATCGATTCATCAGCTCCAGTTAGTTCGAGGTGTCCAAATTTCTGAACCCACTGCTCGAAGAAGATTAAATCAAGTATGGACTGATGGCTTTTCGCCCCGTAAGAGAATTGGCCAGAGCAGATAGAGTTGCAAGGGTCGCATTTGCTCGAGAACACAGCCATTTGTCTTTAGGTTTGCTGTACGTTTTACATACAAATGAGTGTAGATTTGCTCTACGAGGTATGAAGCCTGAAATTTTTCCCACAGCCAACGGGAGTGGGAGAGTTTCAATGGAGTTGGTGGTTGTTCGTAGAGGGTCTTTGACGGCCACTCGCTATGTGGATGAAATTTTGCGTTGCCTATCCTCGTTGAAATCAGCGACAATCCTATTCTAATGCACGATAATGCCCGTCCACATGTCGGTCGCATAGTACAAACGTACCTTCAACAGCATAGCATCAAGACCCTGGCCAGCCTGTTCTCCAGGTATGAACCCCATCGAACATTTATGGGATAACCTCAAAAAAAGAATAAGAGCACATCCATCACTTCCTGATACACTCCACGATCTTGAAAGGATGTGAAGAAAGGGCTAACCTCCAGCAAAAGAGACATTTCCAGACTGGTAGGAAGTATGCCGAGGCTTCTTCGAGATTTAATTAAGGCAAGAGGAAAAAATATGCTATACTGAAATGTTAATTAAAAATCTAAAACAAATTTTACCTGACCGTCTTTTTTTTCGTTAGCAATTTACATTTTTTTTTTTTTACTTTTTTAGACAAAGACTCAATTATTAACTGTTAAAAATGTTTAACTTTGACATAATATATAAAAATATATACAAATCAAGTTATATTACAAATGGGTGAAATGTTTTGGTTGTTAGTTATATATGTATAATTAAGAATAACATGATAAAAGTAATAAAGTTTTCTTTATTTTATAAAATTTAAAAATCATTTTGACTGTCATTTCAAATGAGCTTTTTTTTTCAAAGATACCGGTACCTCGAGGGTTCTTATAACCTGGAAGTTGAAATACCCTCGTAAAAAAAACGTCTTTCCAATTTCAAAATGGCCGAACTCCGACTTCACAATCCACATTCCTGCCTCTAAATATCTTCCTGCAAGATTTTTCAAGCTCTAACCAGAATTCAAGCATTCAATCTCGGAAAATAAAAATTACTTTTCTTTCCCAACGGAGTAAAATTAAACGCGCTTATAAATAAAATAAAGATAAAACAATAAATCCGACTCCCAACGCGGACAGGTTCGAAAATAACCAGTAAGGACTCGACTCTCGAAATTGTATCAGAAAATACGGCCCGGTCAAGACTAATGTTAACGGGTATAAGTGGACTGTATTTGTAACTTTAAAAAACTAATTAATTAATAAATAATCAAATGAAAATGAAATAAAAATGGGACTCACCTCGAGCCGCTGCCTCTTTTCGCGCCGAGGGGTGCAGGGGGTGTAGAAGACGTGGAATACGACGGTTGTGAGAGAAAAGTTTGGAAAAATCGTAAACCGTTTACCTCGAGTCCGTCAATACCGTAAAATTCCCGACCACGATCTCGAAAGAAAATGAAATTATAATTTCATAAATTACACTTTTTTTCAAACGGCACAACGATCCACAATGATTACGCGCGGAACGCGAGAATCGCACTGTCTTGGGCCGAGAAAGGAGAAGGGATAAGCCCTAGGACCACCGGGGTTGGTCACCTCAAATCACCTGATTTCATCCCTTTAGCGAATCACGAACGAGTATTTTTTACAGTATAGAAAACATTACTACGACTGAATTGGACACCTCCATCCCATTTATTTAAAAATTTACTAAGTTCCACAACACTCTGGCCCAAGCCTTGTCCAACTGGACAACCCTTCAATCTTATATGGCGTCTTAAGAAGAAATGGCCCCGTGACCTTCTTTTTGAGGAAGAGCTAGTGAAGTGACGGGAAATAATAGTAATCAGTGGTCAGGTTTGTTAAAAATTTGAAATAACAATCAGTCATATTTACCAGGTTGCGCATAGGTCATATCAAGATCAGGGGGGGGGGTTACCACGTAGGTGTCCATTACCTGTACGGCTTGTAATAACAACTGTAGAGAACTAAATAAGCAAAAAAAATCCCGAATGACCGTGCGCAGCCTTGAGACATGGCACCAGGCGCAAATCGCTATATCTCAGTGCCATAAATATTTTTAATTGTATACAGTATCTTTGTGTCTTCATGTGTGTGATATATTTTTTATTGGAATGTATTTATTTGTGTGAATAGAAGGGCTTGGCCCCAATTACCCAGAGGAATTGGAGTACTCTGGGGGTACAGCGAATGAACGTGCGAATGTAATTTATTAGCGCGAATGGAGAAGTTTATCCCAATTAGGAATAACAAGTTCTCTTGGGAGGTGTGAACGTTAACCAGAATATCATGTTTTTGCATTGCTTCTGTGAATTTGTGTTTGTTATTTGTCTTATTTTATCCAAAATTTTGGCCCTGGGATACAGAGAGCCTAGCAATAGGACAAAAAAAAAAGAGTTGGTTACCGTTGTACCATAAAATATCGTTACTCAGCTGGAGAAACAGAAAAACCAAGTAGTAGGTATAAATTGCAAGAAAGATAATTAAAGAAATTAAAACCTAAAAAAGAGAGGGCTGGCGATAACCAATATGATTTGCCAGCCCTAAAACTTTAAAAATAAATAAATAACAACCGCTCTCTTGCACATTTCAAACATATTTTGCACTCATGTGTTCCTCTTCAGCGATAACTTTCGCCAGCCTGGAAGGTGGTCAGAATAATTGTATTTGCTTCCCTTAATATAAATATATCAATGTATCATCAAATAACATATTGTAACCAAAAATTGCAGATTGTAAAAAATATTGAAATGAAAAAACTGATAGAGGCACATTGATCTTATTTTATTAAATTAATAAGGTACATAATTCTTTTTATTTTATTTTTTTTTTAATTTTAAACAGTTCATAATTTATTTAACGATTTATATTTAAATGTACAAGGTGATAAACCTTTCACAAGGATGATATTCCAACATGTTTTTTATGATAAAAACATATGGATTCAACAACTATTTATGTGTATCAAAAAAAAAATTATCTCTAACTCAATATACAAAAATGTAAAACGAAAAATAAATAACAAAATAATAGGAGTGCTTTTTCTTTAAAATTTATAGCGTTATTAATACTAGTTTAAATAGTCACGATATGTTCCGCAATCAACTAAAATGTTAAGACTGGTAAGAAGGGGCTGGCTCGCACAATTAATTGCACTTGTTAAAACGTTGTGACTTGAGTTTATTAAAAACAAAAGAAAATAGTTTCCTAGGAAATTTCTAAGTGTAATTATTTAAAATTTGGTATTAAAACAGGTGTGTATAGCATATAGTTGAGAACTGTCGCTATCTCTGATCTTTAGCCTTCCTTTCCAAATATGCCAGGCGACGCCTTCGCACTTCTTCCACGTCCGTCTCTACTGAAATTCACATTCATAAATCAATGGAATACAGTTTTGATCTGATATCAACAAACCTTCTGGGACTTGCGTCGGGGCTGGTGGTGCCGTACGAGTGTTTGCTGGTGGTGCCGTACGAGTGTTTGCTGGTGGTGCCCTACGAGTGTTTACAAAGACTTTTTCTGCCCTCTCCCCCGGTTTTTCGAACTCCTCCAGACTCATCTGGATGGCGTTGAAGAGGTCCTCCTCACTAAATTCACAAATGACAGAAACTCATTAAGATAAATTTATTGCAAAACCTCCTGATTTCTCACCTTTTCGAATCTGGCAACTGGTGTATGTCTTGGGTGTGATTTTGGCTGGAAGACTGCAACTTGAACTGTTCTTTGAACATAGAAGTGCCTGCAACTGTTAAAGTGAGCTTAAAGACTGTGATTTTGAAAATAAATTTTTACAAAAATCGTACAAGAACTTGTCGATGGTTTGGAAGCATCCAAGCTTTGTTTGATAGCATTTTGAAGAACTTTGTCTGGAGGCTCATCCTCTAAGCTCTTTTGGATCGCTTGTTGGAGCAACTCTTCTTCCTCATCTGCTTCGTAATTACCCGCACTTATCCTAATAAATAATCACATGTTTTACATTGACTTCGCTGGAAAAATTAGCTAGTTTAAGAATTAAAAATAATTTATAAATAACTAAGTAGCCAACTCAATTAGTGATTTTTGTCTGATTACGAAAATATGATATATTAACTGTCAACAAAACAATTACTAGAAGACAACCAGAAAGTCATTTTACACAAAATAAATTCCTCTGGTTACAATTTTTCTATATTTATTAGTTTTGACCTGATTTATTAGTTTACTTTGTGCATGTTAGTATGATGTTTGTATTTTTTTAATAAGGGAGCTGGACTCTTTAAGACCAGCACACCACAACCAGCATTGGTTTATTTTGCATCTCCATTGTTGTCTAGAGCTCCTGATTTAGCTTAAGGCTTTTTACTAGATCCCAAAGCTTTGACAAAGACTCCTGTGTGTATCTTTCAATCCTTCAGACATGGAAACCTGCATTATTTTCCTGTTAACCCAGATGTACATGTCATTGGCAACATAGTCACTCCCTTGCCTAAGTTCACTCACTCTGTACAAATATAACAACACCAGAGAGTAACTCTAAACATTCAACTATTTATTTATTTGTTATTTATTCATTCATTCATTTATTTTATTTTATTTTTAAATGAATGAGTGGTCATTTCAACTGCCACTCATGACCAATGAGGTTACTTGATTTTCCTATAGCTATCGGCTCTGATGTACGCTAATTACACAATTACAATTACAATTAAATATTCATGTATACTACACACACCATATAAAATATTTACAAACAGGAAAACTTCCAGGTTTCTCTTAAGAAACGGAACAGAACAACCCACCATTTGACTCGCCCACCCGAGTACCATCTTTACATAAGGACTGTCTTCTCGCATCCTGTAAGGAGCCAAGGCATATCACTTATCGATAAGATATGATACGCTGAGCAACCTTTTTGTACAAACGGGGCCTACGCGGGTTTTGGCCAAAACGCAGGTGTCAGATGGGTATGGCCAATCCTAAATCGGGTTATTAAGATCCTTTCCTTTCGTTTCCGACTCCCAAGAGGCCATCGTTCGGTCGTGCTCTTGATACGCAGGAGATCCTTGTTCTCGGACGACCCGGCCAACTGATTTTTATTACTCATTAATAATGTGAACGTGTTAATAAAAGAATTAAGAAATAAGTTAATATTCCCTCTTAAAAATAAATTTAAACTTATAAAATAATAATGATGATAAAATTTGATAATGGAAATTGCTTCCAAAGAATAATCGATTGGTTAACAGCCGAGAACGGGGAGAACCTCCTCGCATAGGGACTCCGACTTGGAGGTTCGACAAAGCTTAAATTTTAAAAAGCTTCTACTCGAGAACTTGCTTAATTCTTAAATTAGCAAATATGTCTAAAGCGGGAGCAAAAGTTATGAAAGGATTTAAAAAGGTCGTCGATAAAGTCAACCACGGTAATAGGATAAAAACCAACATTCCGGCAGGTTTGGCAGCACCGGGCCCTCCACTGGGACCTATGCTAGGACAGGTAAATTTTATCGCACCAACACCCCGATTAGTAATATTTCTTTATTGCCTTTGTTTTGTAGCATGGCATTAATATCGCGTCTTTCTGCAAAGACTTCAATGAACGGACGAAAGACATAAAAGAAGGGATACCTCTACCAAGCCGTATAACTGTCAATCCTGACCGAAGTTACAGCATTGTCATCCATAAACCACCTGCTACGTTCTTCCTGAAGCAAGCAGCAGGGATCCAGAGGGCTGCAATGGAGCCTGGTAAGTTTTCACCTGTCGTAGATTTTCATCAAACCAAAATTATGAGTAGATTATTTTACGTCAAATTCAGAGTTCGATAAATTGGTGGCAAAGATCACAATTTAATCTTGTTACACTCATTCGGTTTAATTCAAATTACAGTAGACTACCGTAATCCATGGGTTATACATACTAAGCATCATGTGGATATGAAACACCTCAAATTTCAGACTGAAAAATTTTCTTCTGCCTGCATACCAATCAGACACTGTATTGCGTATACTTATTCGTCTATGTTATGAACTTACTAGTTATGAACACATTTCAGGTTTTTTAAGAATAAGAAAACTACAATGCACAGTAACGTACATAAAGGTTATTACATGCAGGACAACAATATGTACATATGGGGTATTTGGGGGGGGGGATCGCGGATGAGACAAAGTGCGGATAACAAGAGTCTACTGCCACGTGTATTGAGTAATTATTGTTTTCTTTTTAAAGGTTACTTCAACTATGAGGTGATATAAACTCCCAGGGTATCACTATTCTTGAAAAAGCAGGGTTCAAATGCAGGGCTGCTGAATTCAAACCAGGGACCTTTACCTTACAGTGATGAGCACTGTGTCAACCTTTGTAACCACTGGGCCGAATTTTTTACATTAGGTTAAGCCCATTTCAATGGCCTAGGCACTAAAATTTAAGTCCTGCATTCTTACAATTGTATTGCTTGTAGGCCAATAAGTGGAAAGGAAAGGTTAATTTGGTAGTCGTCTGCATTAAAGACGACAAATAATATTTTATTGAATTATGGAAAGCATTAACAAAGCAACAAAAAAAGGAGAAGTGGAGAGCTTGATCCTTGACGGACTCCATAAGTGATGGGCTGGGGAGAGGAGGGGGCTTATCTGTTATGAATACTACATGGGAACAATCTGAAAAAAATATTGAAACCAAAGAAACCGTTTTGTAAAACATACTTCTAGATTACTTGCAAACACTGAAAATAAGGATTTAATGCCTGAAATCCAGATCACTTCAAAACCAGATATTCTACCAGTGGGTAGAACCACCTTAATATTTTTTCCTCTTTTTTTCAATGTTAGCCAGATGACGTGATGATTAATTGTATTTTGGGGGGAAGAGGACTGAAAAAAGGCCCTGGCTTGTCCATTGCGACTCTGGGCCTGTGACACCCGGGCATCACCCGTCATCTCCCTCTGGGAGTACTCTAAGGCTAACACCTAAACATAAAAAAGGGGAACTATTGACAATTTTACTACAACCGACCAACCAAGATGGGAAAATATTACTTGACTAATAGTCATAACCATAAAGAAAAGGAATATCAAAATGATCAGACTATCAAGCTACATCTAAGGTACATCACTTTGCAGCATACCTCAAGACATATCACAATGAATAAAATCTGTCCATTGATAACTTTAATTTCAAAATCATGACAATGTACAAATTAAAATAAGACAAAATATTTCTAATAAAATTAAATTATACATTAAAATTTGTTTAAGAGACAAAATATTTCTAATAAAATTATATTATGCATTAAGATTTTTTAAAGTGTTAATTAAAATATTTTAGATTGTAGTTTTGTAATAATGTCTCGACCATGTTTCCTTTTGATTTTTGTTTTAGGCAAAGAGATTTCCGGTAAAGTGACCCGAAAGCACATATACGAAATTGCTAAAATCAAATCAGAAGATCCTGTATTCGAGTGTGTGCCTTTGGAACAGATTTGCAAAAAAATAATTGGCATTGCTCATTCATGTGGGATTGAAGTTGTCGACAAGCTCGATTCACAAGAGTACCAGACGTTTTTAGAAGAGAGGAAACTGATCATTGAAGAACAAAAGAAACAACTTCAAGAAAAGAAAGAAGCCAAAATGTTAAGATTAGGGTAAAATTGAAGTGTCTCGTAATCAACGTATCAACTTCATAAAATGTAAAATAGCATTTGTGTTAGATTTTTGCCAAGTTGGTAGAAAATGTAAATAAATTGTTTAATTTTTTTTTTTTTTTTCAATTTCTGGACCTAGCCGATTCCTACCAGATCATCAAATAATAAATACCTCAATGCTTTCTGAAGCTCTGAATCCTCGTTTGAAACGTTGTTCAACTTTGGTTTTACAACTTGCACCGCTGGATTTCTATTTAAAATTTCATTCGCTTCACAAGCAGGAAGTTCACCAATGACAACAAATATAGAATAACCTATAACCAACAAATATTTAAATATTTTGAATAGATAAACATTAAGACGCAAAATCACCTTCTTGTTGTAACTGAGCGAGGAAAATAGACAGATAGGTCGGCGAAATGAGTTCTGGCCCACTGAGAAGTGAGTTGAGGTTAAACCACTGATGGCCAATTTTCCTTATCGTAAGCCAATGGTCCCTATAATTACATATAAAGGCAGACATGTCCCTAAAACGGAAATAACCAAAATTAAAAAAAAAAAAAGACCAAGTAAAAAAAGCTAAAAAACTTACTGAGGACTATCCTGTGCAAGAGCTGCCACTGGTGCAGTACTTTTATAAGGGATCAATTCCAACTCCCAAACCGCCAAAGCTGCGCTTATGACTTGTACAGAAAAGTAACCACTGTCATCACAATTTCCAGATGGTTGCTGAAAAACATAAAACAATAAATATGTTCGCGAATTAAATTGTGTCAAACTTACTGCAAGGAATTTCTGATAGTCCTCAGTGTCGTCTCCCAACTCGGCCATCCTTTTCCGTTCCTCCTCGTCCATTTTCAATGCTAGTGTGGCAAGGTCGACTGGGCTAAAATACTGCCCTTGTAGAAGATTGTTCAAACAGTGTTGGGCGCATAAAGAGCCATCTTGCTGTGATTTAATTAAACAATTAGACCTTTGTTAATAAAATTGATATGTAATACTATATAACATACTATTAGTGCAATTGTTGGTATGGAAATGATGTGGAGATAAAATTTCAATTAAAAAAATCCAAGAACTAAAACACACAATCATTAACTGTCATATCATAATATTATGATAATTATATTACAATATGATAGTTAACAATTTGTGTTTTATAGTAACTTTTTAATTATTTTATCAGCTTATGCTTAAATAATTAAAAGCAGCGACGTATTTAGCCGAAAGTCATGGGTTCAATTCCCACCTGACAAATTTTTCATTTTGAAAAAAAAAATCGTGAATAATTAATTGAGAATTTGTTTTATTTCTTGGATTTTTTGTGGCAGTTCCTCCTGTGGTCTATAGGACAATGAAATCCCATAGTTTGTTTGCTACCATCTTGGTCTGCCTATTCTTGCTAGGTTGTTTTATCAGATGCATTTTCAAAATGTGAAAAGCCATCTGATAGAGCAACCCAGCAAGGATAAGCAAACCAAGATGATTGGTAGCGATCAAATGACATAATATTAATTGTTACAAAAAAATTTAATGAAGACCTGCAAGTTTTTTTTGTTGTTTTTTTTTGCCACCCCCCAAATCCATTCTTTAAATGAAAAAACAATTAGTAACTGGAGAAATAGCAAAAAAAATTTTTTTGGAAAAATTCAGGAATTCAGATCTTTGTGTGAATCTTGTCGATTGTGTCCTTTTTATAAGGTGTTTGTAAAAGATAAGACTAAAAAGACAAAATATGGTTCACCGTCTCATAGACCTTGTAACATTCCACAATGTAATCTGAATTTTATCCAGGTAAAAAAAAAAAGCACCAATGAGTAAGTTAAGATTATAGATTATATAGGGGCCAGCCTCTTAACGACCTGCGCACCACGACCAGTATTGGGCTATTGTGCATCTCATTGTTATCTATGGCTCTGCTTAAGGACATGTTCCGCTGTTTCTTCTTCTTCTTGGCAATATCTACAAGGCTTGTTTCTGCCTCTCTGGGTCTATACATATGCCTAAGGAGTCTGCAGTGTCCAGTCAGCACTCCAACTATTAGATAAACCTTTTGTGTGCCCGGGCTACATTCTCATTGAACGAAGGACTTATTTTTAATCCATTGTCTAATGGATCCGCATTTTGGTAGCTTGGTATGCCACAAATGGTTCTGGGCCTATAAGTATCTTCATCAAACTTTCCTTGGCCAATTTGTCAATTAATTACTATATAGTTAAACTCATAGATATGCATAATTGCACTGTTTTAATCTATTATTATTGAATTATAGAAGACATTTATTTTTATTCATTTCTTTTTTGCCCTACATGTTTTTGTGGTTTGGTTGCAATGAGTTGCTGAACCTTTGCCAGTACAGACTCTTGTTATCAGCTTTCACTCATCTGCGGTTGCCCTACCGCCAGATGAGTTTTATCTTTTTGGAGGTCCTAATAATTTTTTTTTTCATTTGTTTCAATGTCATGCATAGGTGTGTACCTATCAATGTGATTTCCTATATGTTATAAACTTTATGTATGTTACTGTACATTGTATTTTTCTTATTGAAAAAAAAAAAAACCCTGAAATATGTGTACATAAGTTAATATATAGAAGAAAATGCTCCAAAGCCTGAAATTTGAAACTATCTGCAGTTCTCGTTATCCATTGTGTTGCTTGGTACATATCCCTCACAGATAACGAATCTACTGTAGTTCAACCGAGCGTTGAATTAACCATGGATGATATTGGATTGCACTGAGAAAATATTTACACTGCTATAAAGAAGCCAACGCTTGCACACTTTATTACCCAAGTTCCCAAATTCTGAGGCACAGTAGAAGTACAAAATGATACTGTACTACTAGTTAAAATTGACAGTTTTATTCAAATATTGTTTTTGGCAGTTATTTAGATTTCAAGCATTTCAATGCTCATCATTAGACTGATTAAATCTACGTTTTGAAACACAAATTTTACACCTGTCTAAATTGTACGTTGTAATCCCAGAACCGGCATACCAAATAGGCAAAAAACTTAGATCTAGTTCTTCAGTATTTCAGGATAGATTTACTAAACTACAACCTAGGTTGTGCTAAGGCTAGAATGATAGAGCTGTACAAAACTGTGTACAGATATTGCAAGGAAGAAGAAGAAGAAACAGAGGAACTTGTCTTCAGTTGGTGTGAAGGTTTATGTAGGCTGAGATTCATACTCCTAGGAGAAGAAAACCCAAAGCATGAAGGATACATAAGAGTACTTTAAAAAGCTTTGTAATCTGGTAAATAGTCTAAAAGCTTTAAGCTTAATGAGGTAGATATTAGTTGTCAAGAATAAAGGTACAAAATATTAGTGTCTGAATGTTATAAATGGTTAGGGATGGTAATTAACTAAAAGGATGAGTTTAAACTTTCCATTCACCGACAGGCCTCCAACAGAACCAGAATCGCATGGGATCCTTAGAACAAAATTTGTGAGGAGTACAAGACGAGGAAAACTTAGAGCTCACCAACTGTGGCCTACCGCAGCAAGTGAGCCAAATCCGATGCTCAAAGATTTTGTTCCTTTCGACTTCGAAGCTTACTAAACAGCTCGTACAGAACCTCTCAATGCACAACGCCTGATTCTATTTCATGTTATTAAATTATTTACCTATACGGAATCAATCGCGAGTTTGCCTTTATGACAACTGATGAGCATTCGCCAGCAGTTTGATAATTTTTAATCATCTTGGTAAACCCAATGAACCAGACGGTCAAAAGTGTGTTAGATAAATGAAATAAAGCATGAAGCAAGATGATGAAAGTAGTTTAAAAAACAGGCAAATATATTTAGTCTGATATAACAATTAGTAAGTGTGAAAACTGATAATCTTGTGAGGAACCAACTGCTTTGTTATCGTACTTGGCAAATGCTTAGTGCACAATTGAGTGATCTGAGTCATAAAACAAGGTGTTGCACAACAGGGCAGTATTTGTTCTTCAATATATAACATTTTAATAAGGAAAACTATGGTAAATTAAAATGAATCCCTATCATTGTCTAGCCACAATTTTGTAAGGTGATAACGTCTGGGTAGTAATTCAAAGTGGTCGAGCAAAATAGCGATTTGATTTGCATCCAAATGATGCAAGGGATTTTTTTTTTATATATATACATAGAAAGGTAGAAAATGATTGATATCAAAGGTGAGGACATAAAACAAATTGATACGTGGGAAGAGGAAGATTTAAAATCTCGAAAATTCGACAAATCGCCGAGGATCAAACGTAAATCCAAGGACGATGGAAATAAAATTATCTCGGTTTTACCTTTTCGTGGAAAATGTACTCCATTTCGATTCATTCACGACAAATCCAAAGGAAGTCAGCGCCGGGACCGGACATAAAAATCAATCCTAATCAAATGTAACAAACTAACGGAATCAGAAAAAAAACTATGAAACACAAATCATTCATAAAACTGTATTTTTATTCCACTCAGGTTGGCGTTTAACCTTTCCCGGGTTTGCAACAGGGTTGGGCTTTGAATCGGCGACTTTTTTTTCACCCGGCTGTAAAGTTTTTCGTTCTGCAAAGTCGGGATGACGTCTCAGAAGGCAACTTACGTTCTACAGACTCGTTCAGTTTCGCTTTACAGAATGAAAGAAACTTTACAGAAATACGCTGGAGAATTTGCCACTCGGTGTTGGCACCACTGCACAACCTTGAAAAAACCACCTTGGAAAGTCTTTTCCTCTTTGAATTTTTTTTAAAAGTTTTACTTTGAACGAGATCAAAATTAAAATTATCAGCAGATAATACGCTGTTTTTTCAACCTCATCATCAGTAAGTTTTTGTTATTTTTTATTAATTTAAAACACTACCCAGTTTGACATTTTAAACATTTTTCTTTTCCTCTTCTTGGTATCTCTTCTCACACCTCTCTACATAGGACAAATCATTCACACTACACCAAAGTACTCGACATTCCTTGGGTAATTGAGGATAAATTACCTTTCACACTAATAAATTACATTCACACTACCCCATCGTACTTGATATTCCTCGGGGTAATTGGAGATAAACTTTTTCATTCATGCTAATAAATTACATTCGCACATTCATTCACTCTACAGCAGAGTACTCAATATTCCTCGGTAACAGGGGATAAGCTACTCTTCACACTAGTAAATTACACTCACACAAACATTCACACTACCCTAGACTATTCAATATTCCTCGGGGTATTTGGGGGACAAGCCCCTCCATTCACGCAAATAAATACATTCATTCCAACAAATAGCATATATCACATAAATGAAGACACAAAGATCCTGTATATAATTAAAAATATTAATGCCGTGAGATATTGGAACAGCGATTCACGCATAGGTCATTTGGGATGTCTTATTTCTTTCTTTGCAGTCCGTTATTATATGATCTCTCCACAATGGACACCTATGTGGTTTGTCCAGTGCTTGAGTTTCTTTCTTGAGCCATTTTCCAATTCCGTGTTAACCACACGTTCCGGTGGACTTAGTTGTTGTTCTGGCCCTATGGATGAGAGGGCTGCCCCTTTTTGGCTAGTTAGCCTGTTTACTGAGGTTCTTACAAAAAGATTGGGGTTGCACTGATGTCATTGGGTATGATATACACCGATGGACAAAATTAACGCACCACCCTTAAATTTTAACATGTTTAGGTTCATTCATATTTTGCATACGAAAAATAGGTTTGGTGGTATAAATAATACATTTTAAAAGAAAATGTTTATTACCTTAATTCTAAAAAAACAATTATTAAGTAAAGAACAAAAAAATGTAAAAAAAACTTTTGTTGGCATTTGTACAAAAGAGTAATCCATCAACGTAAACAGTTTCTTATATAGAGTGGTAATTGAAAGAAAACATGAAAACCTGCATTATTTTCCAGACAACACAATAAATAATAATAATAATAAATGGCAGCGTCAGTGGGTTAGGTCGTCCGGTTAGCTCCTGACAACTTATCGATGGCCCTTCGAATTTGAAATGAAAGGAAAGGATCATCCCGTTGGCCACATATACACCTGCTTTTCTGTCAAAACCCCACGCAGGTCCCGTTGTAGAGAAATGTAGCTCAGTGTGTCACATCCGACCGAAGAGTGCTCTTACAGGGACCAAGTAGGCATGAGCCCCCTTTTTTTTAACAAGGGTATTTTAACTACGAGTTTATATGAATGCTTGGATGGGGTAAAATTCACATTTAACAAACCACTTTTGCTTTTCATGTGTATTATTTATTATTACAAAAATTTACGCAGTTGCAAAATTAATAGTAACAATAAAATACAGTAAACACTAATAAATAACAATTAACTTCTAATACATGTGTACATATGTTCACTTTTTTAAATACTGGCTTGTAAAAAAATAAACTAATATACTCATTTAAAAAAAAGAAAAAAAAACTTATAGTGACTAGAATAAATCATATACAAGATTTATATAATATCATATTTACGTTACATAGGGCAATGAGAAATGAAATCTGAATCAAAGTATATTACAGTAACAGTAATGTCATCCCTGAAAAGCCTTACGATGTCTTGAGACAAGGAGAGCAGCTGAGAGATACGGGAATGTTCTATGCCATAATCAGTCCCTCCTAATGCATTGCGGAATAAGTGCGTGGCGGCATTCTTGTCAATGGGAACCTAAAACAGAATAAAAGCGATTAAGGATTATTTTGAAAATATTCGGGTGTCAGTTGATATTTTACCTTGTTAAGACCTTCCCTCCTTTGTACTAATATTTTATGTATGTCTTTAAGTTTTGTGTTGTTCGGTAACCTTAAAGGAGTGAGTGCAGCTTTGCCGCTCATATGTTCCCCAACCAATCTCACGACCTTAAAAAATATATTTTTCTCATTCAAAGCCTATTTTTGTTTAAAGAATGAAATAATTACTTGCAATGGAGACAAAAGATCCCAGAGGCCATCAGAAGCAATAACTAAAAATTTATCTTTAGGGGTTAATCTATGATACATGATTTCTGGTTTTGCTGTCAAGTACGGGGGAGTATTATAACGAGGTGGTATCACAGCAGGACCATAAAGTGGGACAATTTTTTTTTCTAGTATATCTTTACTCCATTTATACCTAAAAATAAAATTACACATTACTGTTTAATTTTCAAAAACTGTTAAAACGGCTGAACCTGAAATCTCCAAATGCTCTGAGAGGAATAAGCTGTCCGAACAGTCTTTCTTTTTCAAGGAGTGTATAACTTTCTTCGTCTGGGTGATCTTTAAACAGTCGATCTAGTTCATTTGGATTTTCACTATTGTGCTCTATACTCATCTTTTTTGCACTCCAGACTTTACCATCGTTCAAAACTCCTAAGACAGCCTTACGACAAGCATATCAATAAAAGTCGATGTCATAAAAAATTGTATACTGTTACCTGGCAATCTCCGACATTTGCTACGTGCAGATGTGATTTGGAAATATGAGAAAGGCAAGCCACTGCTCCGGACATGCAGACACCCAAAAGCTTAGTATTGGAATTGTCCAAAGCTTCCCTAGATATATCGTCATCAAGGCGAAGAAACGAAGATTCCAAAGCTTCTTTCGTTCCGTATTCTTTTACCCTTTCTTGATTTGCCATATCAAGTACATACTTTTTAAAACTCTGGGTATAAATTTCTTTAAGCTCATTAATAAATTCATGCCTGAAAAAGTTTTATAATTTTAATTCCAATTAATTAAATAAATTGTCTAAAGTGTTACCTATCGTTATAAGTCTCTAAAATATGAACTTTCCTATTTTCTTCAAGAGCTTTCGCATATTCTTTCAACTCATTCTGAGGTAGAAGGGCAACAGCGACATACTTAAGTAGCCTTTTGGCAAGGACTTGGGCACACGCAGCTCCAGCGTGGCCATCAAACACTCCCATGAGCAATCCTTTACAACAATACTACACTTAATATAGGCAAAAAAAGCAAAACCTAACTCTATTTTAACAAAAAAGCAAAATTTAACACAAAAATCGTGAACATCCAAATTTTGTCGATTTTTTTTTTCCTTTTTTATTAGGTTAGAGGTTTTACAAATTGATTTTTTTTCGTCTGTGTGTGTTTTGTCTGTGCTAGATTTTTCTGCTTTGGTTGTCCGCTGTGTTTATTCGACTAGAAATGCTTATTTTATTTTGAATTAGGTTTTTAACATGTTTAAATTTTTTAACGTATTTCTATGTTGTTTAGAATTTGCACTTTTTGACTTTTTGCTTTTTCATCACTTTGACACTCTCAGTCATAAAAACATGTTTTTTGAACCTTGTTAATGACATCGTTAGAGTTAGGTTTTACAACTTCTGCAGAGATTATTTTTGTCTGTGTTAGATTTTTCTGCTTTGGTTGTTCATTGTGTTTATTCAACTAGAAATGCTTATTTTATTTTGAATTAAGTTTTTAACTGTTTAAATTTTTTAAATATATTTCTATGTCATTTTGAATTTGTACTTTTTTCTTTTTCATGCCTTTAACCCTCTTAGTCATAAAACCATGGTTTTTGAACCTTGTTAATGACATAATCAGGATATTCATAACAGCGAAAAAAATTTTATTAGGTTAGAGTTAGGTTTTTACAAATTCTGTATTGATTATTTTTGTTTGTGTTAGATTTTTCTCCTTTGGTTGTCCACTATGTTTATTCGACTAGAAATGCTTATTTTATTTTGAATTAGGTTTTTAACATGTTTAAATTTTTTAACGTACTTCTATGTCATTTAGAATTTGCACTTTTTGACTTTTTGCTTTTTCATGACTTTGAAACTCTCAGTCATAAAACATGTTTTTTGAACCTTGTTAATGACATCGTTAGAGTTAGGTTTTACAACTTCTGTAGATTATTTTTGTCTGTGCTAGATTTTTCTGCTATGGTTGTCCATTGTGTTTATTCAACTAGAAATGCTTATTTTATTTTGAATTAAGTTTTTAACTGTTTAAATTTTTTAAATACACTTCTATGTCATTTTGAATTTGTACTTTTTTCTTTTTCATGCCTTGTTTTTGAACCTTGTTAATGACATAATCAGGATATTCATAACAGCGAAAAAAAATTTATTAGGTTAGAGTTAGGTTTTTACAAATTCTGTATAGATTTTATTTTTGTCTGTGTTAGATTTTTCTGCTTTGGTTGTCCATTGTGTTTATTCGACTAGAAATGCTTATTTTATTTTGAAGTAGGTTTTTAACATGTTTAAATTGTTTTTAATGTATTTCTATGCCGTTTTGAATTTGCAGTTTTAGCTTTTTCATGACTTCAATCAGTCATGCATTTTTTTTTCCAAAGAATATTTAGTGGTGTTAGCTGGGTTATAACAATTCATAATTAGTCAGTCTAACTTACACAATGCATTTAATCACTTTACCATCTATGAGCATAATTTTGGCTTCTGCCCTCATGTCTTCCATAGGATTGTTTGAAGCGAGCTGGTTTGAGTCATAAGATTTGACTGGGCCCGATGAAAACTCATGGGAGAATTCATTCGCCCTGAGGACAGACGTGACCTAAATAAAGACAGAAAAACAAAATGCACATATGTATACAGATATTTATATGATAAAAATGATGGTTTATGAATTGAAATTGTAAATCCTTTTGATGATACATTTATGGGCAGAGAAGATCAATCAAAAGCACTGTCAATAGATGGCCTTCAGAAGATCTGAATCCTTAGAAGAGGGATCAGCCTCACCCGTCCACACTGCACCAAACAAATAAAAAGACTAGGTACACATTTCATGAAGATAACTGCTAGTAGCTTCATGATCATCAATATCATCTTTGTTGGTCGTGTCTATTGACGTGTTAGGGCTGATCAGTGTTGTTTTGTCATTGCTTATCTTTTTACAAGTTAGTAAACAGTGAAGGAGATAGGTCTAACAAGGTTGTATTTTTTCAGTAAGAGAAACGCCAACATCAAGCATTTCTTGTTAGTTACATAAATCTAAAGTATCTTAAAATAGATTTATTTTATATAATTGATATAACATTTGTAGAGTTGATCTTTCAAATTGAATGCGTTTTACCCATTTCTATCGTACTATCACATATGAAATTCTATCGCTGAGTACCAAAAATTGCCAGTGATTTTGCAATTGGTACCAATCAGTAAGTGTGAGACTTATCAGCGATTAATCAAAACTGACTTACTTCCATAGGCGAGAGTCTCGAATGGTGGATATTGACGTCCTGGACATTTCCACGAGAGTAACGTTTCGAATTTAATTTATGAAGGGCGAGGGCAGGCCTTAGGAAGTGTCTGTCGGTTGTCAACTGAAAGGAATTTAGTGTCAACGATGTGTAAAATCGACCCCCCAATGCCATAACAGAAACAGTGTTATCTCCAGAAAGAAACAAGACCCTCGAGCAACCTTCTCTGAGTCCAACTCTTATCAAGCCTTTGGACGGTGGCGCTCTCAGAAATGATCAGTTTCAAGAACCGCCCGCCTCCAATATGAACCATACTATACTTAAAAAAAAAATAAATAAATAAATATCTGTAATAATAATATTATAAAATATTATTATTATTTAATAATAATAACTATTATTTGGAGATCGTGAGATGCGGTCTGGTGTGAGATAGGTTTTAGAAAAACATTTTCTTTATAGTGCCACCGTTTCGATCTTTATTGAGATCATCTTCAGGGCCTGGGATTTATAAACATTGTTTAAATTACACATACATATATATGTACAATTTTATTATTATTTTATTACAATTTTATTTTTACCATTTTAGACTCAACCAAAGTATTTGTATTCACTCAAAGTGTTTGTTTTCTGTGTAGATGTGTCATTATTGTGTGTCGAGTTGAGAGTGCCGAAGTGCACATCTACACAGAAAACAAACACTTTGAGTGAGTACAAATACTTTGATTGATTCTAAAATTTCTAGCATTGAATAAATTAATTTTTTCACATTCTGCATGTATTTGTATAATTTAAACAATGTTTATAAATCCCAGGCCCTGAAGATGGTCTCAATAAAGATCGAAACGTTCGCACTATAAAGAAAATGTTTTCTAAAACCTATGTCATACTAGACCGCATCTCACGATCTCCAAATAATCACTAAACACCACGCAATAATAAATATTATAATAATTATTAATATTAATAATTATTATATAGGGTGATTCGCTCGTACGACAAAGTTCGTCAGGGGCTTCTACACCTCAATTACATCAAGAAAAGTTCAAAACATGATTTTTTCCCCTTTCTCCCCTTTCTCAAACATCATTTTTTTCCAACTATTTACTGTTTTTCTCATAAATCTACTCGCCCTTTAACTATTAATTTTTTGGGGATCCCAAAAAACCATTGAAAAGAACGTTAAATTTCCTCAAAGAAATCTAAATCTACACTATACACAGACAAAAGAGAAAAAAAAGAATATAGAAGTTGTAAAACCCAAAATTAACCTAATGAAAAAAAGCAGAAATAAAATAAAAATTCGACCTAATTTTTCCACTTTATTGTTCGCTACGTTTATTGTCAGTTTTTGTATCTGTTGAAGTTGTTTGATTTTTACGTTTAAGTTTTCTGTCTTTTTTTTGTGCTTTTTTATTAGGAGAAAGTTGGATTTTGCACCTTCTGTATTGTGTATTTGTTCTTTTTTTACTTTTGTCTAGTTTAGAGTAGATATTTTGTCCAATTCTTCTGCTTTGGTTGTTCGCTATGTTTATGGTCCGTTTTTCTATGTGTTTTGTTTGATTTTTACGTTGTTTTTTTAATTTAATTTAATTTTTTAAACGTAATTTTTGATTGACGTTGATTTTTTGTGTTTTTATAGGTTAAAGTGTGATTGTACACCTTCTGTATTGTTTAATTGTACTGTGCTTAGAGTTGATAATTTGTCCAATTTTGTGCTTTCATTTATTGCTTATTTCTATATTATGGTCTATCTGTATTTTTATATGGTCAATCTGTACTATGTTTATTGTCTGCTTTTCTATGTATTTTGTTTGAATTTACGTTGAATTTTTCGAAAATTGGATTTTACACCTTCTGCATTGTTTATTTGTTCTTTTTTTTTTACTCTGTTTAGCATATATATTTGTCCAAGTTCTTCCAATAACATAAAAATTCAACGTACTTTTTCCGCTTTTATTGATATATTGTTTCTTTTTTTATGTGTTTTATTTTGTTTTTTAGTTGAATTTTCTGTTTTTTTACTAGGCGAAAGTTGGATTTTACACCACCTTCCGTTATTTTCTTTTTTTTGTTTGAGTGTGTTTAGAGTAGATATTTTGCCAAATTTTTCTGCTTTGGATGTTCACTATGTTTGTTGTCTGTTTTTTATGCGTTTTTTTTTTTTTTTTTTTGGTGCAAATTGGAGAAATTTTATGCTGGATGGGAAAAAAGCGGTGACGATGTGAAAAAGGGGGAGTGGTGTTAATTTAGTAATTGAACTTTTTGTCTTGGGCAAAATTTATTTTCCAAAGTAAAATTTATAAAAAAAAAAGCACAAAATTTAATACAAATGAAACAAGCACTTAAAAAAAGAGACAATAAATATAGTGAACAATCAAAGCAGGAAAATTGAACAAAATATCTACACTAAACTAGACAAAAAAAAGAACAATTCAAAAATAGAAAAGCACAAAAACAAAGAAAAATTAAACTAAACACATAAAAAAGAGAAAATAAACATAGTGAACATACACATTATGTTGATTTTTTTAAAGGTTAAAGCTGGGTTTTACAACTTCTGTATTTTTATTTTTATTTTATTAGTTTAAATATTTTGTCAATAAAATAGAAATTCGACGTAATTTTTCCGCTTTGAATGTTTGCTATGTTTATTGTCTGTTTTTGTTTTGTTTGATTTTTACGTTTAATTTTTCGTTTTTTGTGCATTTTTATAAGGTTAAAGTTGGATTTTACACCTTCTGTATTGTTTAGTTCTTTTTTTGACTGCCTTTAGAGTAAATATTTTGTCCAATTTTTCTGCTTTGGTTGTTCACTATGTTTATTGTCTGTTTTTTATTATTTTGTTTTGAGTATTTTTATTAGGTTAAAGTTGTGTTTTCCACTTTCTGTATTGTTTAGTTTTTATTTTTTGATTGTCTTTAGAGTAGACGTTTTGTCCAAGTTTTCTGCTTTGCTCATTTTACTTGATTTTTTTTTTTTTTTTTGTTAAGTTAAAGTTGGGAAATAAATTTTGCTTAGGGTATAAAGTACAAAAACTGGATTAACCCCCACACCTCCCTTTTTCACACGTCGCCACTTTTTCCCCTTTTAGCATAACATCTCTGTAATTAAAGAAAAGGGTATACCGCTTATTTAACGAAGAAGTTATGAAATTTGCCATGCTTTACCGTGACTTTTTCCAGCGAGGTTGCAAATATGGTTTTTTTACATATTATAAATTTAACAATTTTTGATGATTTGTTTTAACCAAAAAATTAAATTGAAAGTTGTAGAAGGGTGACTTCTCAAGGGATAATATAAAAGATAGAGGTAGATAATTTTGAAAAATTGCGAAAAATCGCGGATGATCGAACCATCTGTCACGCGAACAAGATGAAGGACATTTAACAGAAAACAACTTACACTATTTTATTCCTTATGCTACCTAAATTCCATAAATTCGAACTTTATGAGTATTTTTCAATTAATATAATTAAGACAAATGTTTACAAACTATTTATTGGGTTTATGTTGTTAATGACAAATTCTTTGAGCTCAAATTGAGGCAAAACATTGCTGACATCTCATGAATCCTCATTTGTCAGTTCCGAATAAAAATGTATAATTGTTTAGTTTACTACTTATCGATGCGACTATTCAAATTAATGCCTAACGTGTCATGCAACTTAGACTTATTTCATTTAATCGGTTGTCTGCTGTCTTATGAAAACGGAGAGTGGCAACATTTCTTCCCGAGCTTTAGGGTTTAAATTAAGAAGTCGGTTGAAGTAAAAGGCCCTTTTCCCCGCCGGCAGGGATTTTTGGCGATGGTGCCTTACTTGCTGGAAGGCAGATGTTTTTCTCTCGAGAGCGGAGCCTTGTACAAACGAGCTGAGGATTAACTCGGATTAGTAATAGAAGGTTTTTCCTCGAGGTGAGCTTAGTCGGCGCGGGTGCGTAGACTAGGATTTGTACATAACGTGAATACCCCCTTTGGGATCATACAAGCCGCCTACAAAACATCTGCGGCGGATATCTACCCGAAAGAGAGAGAGTGAGAGAGAGACAGGAAAAAAACAACGATTAGTCGACACGTGATGATCCTGACTATTCTTCCGGTTTTCTTTTTGTGGTGTTCCTTTTAAAAAGGAAATATCGCAATGCAGTTTTGTTGAAATTGAAACTATTGAAAAAACAGTCTTGCCCTCCACTGTATATTGACAATAAAAAGATACCGACTTCCTCAAGCCAAATAGTAAAATTCTATACCTAGACAGCAGGCCGATGTGAAATCCCAAAACTCAAGAGTCAGATTTGGACGACTAAGAAGACTTTTAGGACTGAAATCCATATTGTCCATCAAAACTAAACGAACCTTTTAAAGTTTTTACTGCTTGTTGAACGGGCACAGGGTCATTTACTAGTCTGTCTCCATTCGACTCGTTTTTTTTTTCAGTTATTCAAACTCATTCCAGCAGAGCTGTGTCCATGCGTGAGTGAATGGGACCTAAAGCTTCCAGAAGAATTCCCTTAATTAGTGCAAATATCCATTCGGGCATGGGCGTTGATTCCACCCCACACCATAACCGTCTTTAAAAAGGCTTGTGACTCACGCATGGCACGTGAAGCAAAGCGTTCTCCAAATATACGGTCCCAGTCATCTGATTGTCACAAACTAAACCGGCACTCTTCAGTGAAAATAACTGCCCCGCATTGTTCAACTGTCCAGCATGACGGTTTGTGAATGCCTTTCTACTCGATGCTTCTCCATTAGTAGAGAACCTGATACCTTTTAAGGAAGCCAGGAATCCGTTAAATGAGAGCCCGAAGTGCACAAAAAGATATAAAACGATTATCTCCAGTTGACATACATCGCGGTTAAACGGTATTGCGCCATCTTCAGTGAGAAACTGTTAGAGTTTTGATCGGTAGTGATTTGACCGGCAAACGCCCTAGCTACAAACGACGGGCCCAACGACAGTTCCTCACTGAAGATGGCGCAATGCTGAAACGCTTTTGTATAACTCAAAAACCCGCGAGTGGAGGCAAACACAGTAAGTGACCCCCTGCCTTTCAACACGAGTTAACAGACTCGCAGAACAAAACCCATCATCAGCTCTAAAGACTTTACTGCGACCCCTTTGGACGTACGGCGTGGAACTTGGGGTTCTGCCAAGTCATTCATCATCCAGCGTATCCAATCCTTCCAATCAATTATCAAAGCTACTTACTTTGTTACCAACCTACCACAACGAAC